AAAGTAATTAAAAATTATCCCAGCACATGCTTTTATTCTTTATTAAATTAAATTTACAACAAACTCTTACTGCTGTTTGTATGTTTATTCTCTTGTCTGGTTTTCTTATCTCATCTCGCTTCCTCCTTAAAAGCCGGATAGAAGGTTATATAAGCTTCTGCATCGGCACAGACAGCATTTGTCATTTGGTTATTGGGGAAGTTAGAGCAGTATTGGGTCATTGAAGTGTCATGCACATATCTGAGTGTTCTTTTCCGGAAATTGAAAGAATCTTCATGGTAAAATAAATAAAAATAAGAAAACAAAACATATTAAAACAGTTTTTTAGGAACATGCCTTTTCAAGTCTACTAATTGTAATTTCTAACAACTTCCTGTATTTCAAGAGCTAGAGACATGAATGGATGGTAAAATTGGACAATTTTTCTAGCTTCTAAGGCAATCTTTAGAAGTAGAGAGAATTTGGCTTTGTATCATGAAATTTTGAAGCTTTCTCTCTTCAACAAATGCCATTTCTCACCTTGATTAGAATGTGTTGACCGAATATGCATGTAAAAATTTCACAACTTCACATATGTTAAGATTTTGTTTGTTTTTAACCTTCTTTGTGCCATGTCAAAACCTTCAAGGTACGCTCCTTCTTTTTCTGTTTTTATGTAATGAACCTCCTCTTGAAGGCATCAGCTGCCAGTTTTAGCAGCTCCTATGAGAAAGGGGCCATGGACTGCAGTAGGAAGGAGCAGCATTTGTTGAGGACTAAACGCCAGGCTCTGTGTTAGGCCTCATTTAGTTCTCCTTGAAGCTCATACAGTAGGTGTTAGTATTATTACTCCTGTTTAATAGGAGATCAAGATTCAGAGATTTTAAGTAACACCTAGCTAGTGGTAGATCCAGAATGCCAATCCAGATATCTTTGGGCTGAAGACAGTGTTGTAAATTCTTCTGGAGATGTAAAGAGAAATAGATACCCTCCCTACCCTCAGTCAGCACATGCTTAAAATAGTGGAGGAATATTCACATGGAAAATTAATTCTAAAACAAAATCAAATTGTATTGTATAATAAGAGAAGTGCCACAAACAGGCAGGCAATCATGGATGCTCTGAGTGTTCAGCAGAGGAGAGCTCTTCTTACTAATCTACAGCGAGCTACTTCCAGAAATACTTCTTAAGCATTAAAGCCACGTCTTTTTAAATAACAAAATTTTACCTATTTTCACCCTAGTGAGTGGAATTTGGAGTACATTATTTTTTGAGAAAAGGGTTCTCTACAACAACCTTATCCTTTTGTTAAAATTTTGTTAATGAAATGGCCAAAATTTACGTATTAGCAATACGTCTTTTTTAGCCATTTTACATTTCATGAGTGTTGTTAGACAGGAAAGGTAAAGGACAGAGCTTCATCTCTGCCCTCAGGGAGCTTTTAGTCTAATGGAGAAATGCAAGCATCCTATATAATAAAGAGGTCATATGTAAATTGGACCTCACACCCTCATGTCAGAAGATGGCCGCCCCACATTGTCACAAGATTGCCACCACAAGTTGGTGCTCTAGGTCAGCACAAAATGGCCAGCAGGAGAGGGCAATTAGGGGCAATCGGGCTGGCAGGGAAGCAGGCTTCAATCAAGCCAGTAGGGGAGCGGTTAGGGGACTATCAGGCTGGCAGGCAGAAGTGGTTAGGGGCGATCAGGCAGGCAGGCAGGCAGGTGAGTTGTTCGGAGCCAGCAGTCCTGGATTGTGAGGGGGATGTCCGACTGCCGGTTTAGGCCTATAGAGATGGGGCCTAAACTGGCAGTCGGACATCCCCTGAGGGGTCTCAAATTAGAGAAAGTGCAGGCTGGGCAGAGGGACACACACACACACACACACACACACACACACACCCCACCGCCCTATGCACGAATTTCGGGCACCGAGTCTATAGAATTAAGAAAGAAGGAAGAGAGGGAGAAGGCACGGGCTGACAGGCAGGAACTAGGTTGTAATGTGTGCCTCTCCGATTATGTGAAACATGTAAAGACATAACCTCATTGTGTCCTTTAGAGACCATGGACAATATCAATGGGTTAATCTATTTCTTAGATTTTTGCTTATTTTTCACTGTGATTTCATCTTAATTGATTCTGAAATAAAAGATTAGAAGTCTGTGAACTAAAGTGAGTTTTTACCTCTCTTTGCATTCCTATACCAACTTCTGTATTCTTCCTTAAAATGAGTAGCGTGATATACTTTCTTCTGGCTGTCATAAAAATTGTTTTTGGTGAGGTGATATTGTGTTGGAATTGTGAAAACTTTCATTGGCCTGTGTTTTATGATAGATTAACAGTTGTATAGATCTTTTCTCGCTGGACAAATTACTTCCCACCCCTAAATTATGTGTGTCTACGACATAAATAAATTCCAAAAGTTTGAAGACATTTTCATATTGTCTGTGAGCCCTCTGATGATAAGGTGCCTTGGAAAATGTGAGCCAGTCTTTTAAAAGAATTGCAGTAATCATACATTGATTTTAAATGACCCTGTCACACATGAAAACAAATCAGATTGTTGCTCTTAATGAGCTTTTCAATTTACTATTCAGTAGATCAGATAAGTGGATTTAAGAGGTAATGATCCTGTTTAGTACTCAAGCTTCACTGTCAGATCCTAGTAGTGGAGAGAAATCCCTAGGGACAAAAGCGTTGACACAGTTCTAGATGGGATAATGGGAATCAAAGCTAATGGATGATAAAAGGAATGGTGCAAGTTACAAGGATAATTGTGGATTAAAGCACTGCCATGTGTCAATGTTGACCGTTTTTTCTAGTATCTTATTGGGTCAAATCTGATGCTTTGAGGAACTGTTTTGACAGCAGAGCACAACAGACGCCTGTCTAGCTCTTTCCTTTAGTGAGTGCCAGGGACACACAAAAACCCATCAATTTTTAAAAAATATTTTTTTAAATGTAAAATGTTTAAAATCACATTTTAGTTACGTTTTATTCAGTGTGGCATGGATAAAATCAAAATTTGATTAAGCCTGAGTTTTGCCATAAATAAGCATTTATAGTCTTAAAAATATAAAATTTGATTTTCCAAAAATACAGTACGGGGGGAAGAGGGGCAGCGGACACCCAAACAATTACAGTGTGGACAGTAGCAGGACGGGACAGCTCCCTGCTGGAGGGAGGAGAGATGACTCTGAGTGGGCATCGGGAAGAGGAAGAAGGCAGACTCAGGCCAATGAAGCGCTGGAGCTCACGGAGCTCTGGAACTGCCTGAGAAACCTCAGCGACCAGCTCATTTCACTGCGGCTTCAGGTTAAGGGAAACAGCAGAGGAGGAGTAGGGTGGGGTGAGGTTGTGAAGGGCTTTGTATGCCACTAATCACACCAACACCAATTTTTTCACAGGCCCCAGTTCTCTCCAACCTATGAGAAAGGTTCGGAATCACAGTGAGATCGGTCCACTTCCCTTTCCTCATGCCATTCTTCCTGTGAGCCTGCCCTGTGATCAAGATATCCGATCATTGGGGACTGGTGGTGACCAGCATCCCTAGTTCTCTCTTCCTGCTGCTCCCTCTTTTCCCCACACATTTCACACACCCAGTGAGAGCTTCGGTCGTATAAGAGAGAGAGGAAGGCCTACTCTGAGCAGTCAGGGATCCAGTCACTGTCGTGGATCTGTAGGGCTCAGAAGTTAGTGGGAGAGGCAACAGGAATTTGGATATCAATCTTCCTTTCTTTGTCTCTCCCCCAGCTTCTCCCCTCCACCCTGGTGTTCTTTCCTTCTCTTGCCCTCTCTACCTGCTCCCACTTCCCCCCTCTCCTTTCTCTCTCTTTTTTTTTTCTCTCTGATTTCCTCTTGGTCCTTAGGAGATTTTTTTGGTCATAGGACTTAGGTTGAAAACCTGAAACACAAGCTGCTGGTGTGACTAGTGCTTAAAATCCAAATATAGGAGACTGCAGTGGACAGCCTTCCTCCCCTGTGTAACCAGCCCTGCGGCTCTGGGCGCCCTGTGGTTTCTTTCTCACCTTCATGGCCTATGGCAGTATGTCAAGTTGGTGTTGACATAGGAAAAACAGGCAGAGAAAGTGAAAGCTAAGTTGCCATAAAGTATAGGAAATAGGCTGGTCAGGAGAACGTGAGGAAACAGTCACAGGGCTCAAATCGCAGAAGAGAAATCCTATACAGCTGGTGTCTGGCAAGGATGACCTGGAATCACACCAGAGCATCAGGGAGTGTGGAGGTGTTAACTAACCCACCTCTCAGCCTTGCCAGGGTATTAGGGAATGTTCCATTGGCTGCCAGTGGCATTGTCCCAATTGAAGTGGGCTATGTGTTTATCAGCTCAGTGTGGCTTGGGTCGGGATTGAAATGTTGCACCCCAAACTCTGCAACCAGCGCTCCCTAATTGGAAGCTCAGTGGATTCCCAGGCCCTGATGCACTCTGCAGAGACTTCCTGAGCCTGGAGTGTCTGTTTCCGTGTGGAAAGTAAGACCTGCCTCTGTTATTGGGGGGAGTTTAATCGAGGGATATTTGAGAATTTCTACAAATTCTTTCATTATATGTTGGAAATTATTTTTTCTAACAGCCTAACATTCCCGAATTATTTGGTGGTTTGCTGAAATCTGAAATGGATGGAATCTATGTGAATGTTGGAACCTTGTTCCAAGGCACTACAGTTTCTTGCCCTTCACATGCATTTCCTGTCTTTGAGAAAGGAGGGATACTAGTTCCCAGTTTAGGGGAAAAATGTGTAGTGTGCTGGGAGTAAAATGAGTATGTGAGCGGGGTGTGTATGTTTTTCAATATAAGAGAGATGCTTCCAGAAGAAAAAATTGGTAAATTTAAAACTTGTAAACTTTTAAAAAAATTCTTCATTCTCCCCCCACCTACTCCCTACTTTAATGTAGAAGCAATCAAATACCTTACTTACAATTTAAATCTTCCATTTGCTCATTGTGATAGTCTTTTTAAAATATAGGTTAATGGTAAAGTTTTTAACAATTGTTTTTGTGCAGGTATATGCCCGGATGTCAGAAGTGCTAGGAATAACAGATGACAACCACGTTCTAGAAACATTCATGACGAAAATGTGAGTATCTACTCTGGGTTTTGATTTTTTTCTTTTCTTGTTGGTGGTTTGAATCTAATGGACCTTTTACTGTGTTTAAATTTCTTCATAAATATTAATTTTCTTAATAAGAAACTTTAAAAATTGTGTTTTCTTAGGATGGTAGCATAGTTTTTAATTGAAACTTAATTTCTCACATTTAAAGTTCACCATCCAGATGACATTGTTATTTGTCAAGGTGTCCACACGATTGCAGTGTGCAGCATCAAGACATGGTTTTACAAAGTTTATAGACTGGCTCTTCAAGTCAATTGGGTAGCATTTTTTTTTAAATTAAAAAGAAAACACCCAATTTGGAAGACCAAATGAAGAGATTTTTGCAAATTAGAATCATTGAGAGAAGTTTGATTACCTTAGGACATGGCATTCATTGCCTTTGACAGGAAGCTATGGCTGTCAGAGACATATTCATGGAAACTGAATTAATTATCCTTACAACATTAGCAGAATTCACTAGTTTCCGGTCATAGGTAAAACTTTTACACTTAGCCTAAGTTGGTGTGCCTTCAATCTGCATCCCACTTTCTGTGTAACACATAAATAGTACTGTCTTGCCTCCAGAGAATAAAGCTAGATAAACAATCATAAGCAGAAGTGTGTTTTGGAGCCACAAGTTGAATGGTTCATTTCTTGGGAGTAACTGTGAGCCTCTATTTGACTTCCTTGTAGCTCCTGCTGTCCGTCCCTACATATGTTTGTTTCAGATAAAAATTTAATGTTTTCCTGTGGAATACTGAGGCAACTTTTTTATTTTTAAAACTAAATGAATAGAATTATGCACCATTTGTACATTGACTGAATATGTTTTGAATGTGTTATAAAAAGAATTGAATGGAAAATGTCCCATTGGTATTTTGTGATTTAGGTCTTCAAACTTACATGAATGTATGTGTATTTCCATGTTTTCCCTATACAAGCAAATACCTTACTTACAATTTAAAACTTCTTGTTTACATTTAGTGTTACAAACCTTAAATACTGGGGAAGATGTGAGCCTGTAATTTCAAGGACTCTTCAGTTCCTAAATGACCTTTCTGTTGGATATCCTTTTTACTATATGCTTGACCATTTATATGATAAGCCTAACAAGTGCATTCCATTAGCTAGGTACTTTTAATAAAGTCAAAATATTGTAAAATATTGCCTTCTAAAAACTGAATTCCTAAGAATCAGTATGTCTTCAATAGTGTTCAATTGAAAAAAATATTCTTTTCATTAGTTAATAGACAGATATAAAGGAATTAGAAGAAAATTTATGTGTCTTGAACACTTTTTTGATTATTAGTCCTATCAACTCAACATCTTATTTACTCTAAAATGAGACTTCTCAGTACACATTTATTGTTAATAATTTTCTCTCATTAGCAGATTTGAAAATATAAAATCAGAATCATCTTTTCTTTTTAGGTTAATTGTGTTTCTACCAATGAGCGAGAAGAGTATAAAAAATAAATGTTGGTTTAGTTAACCGCTAAGATTAGTTATTATTTTAATATGAAGATAACATTCTGAAAATGGGGGCAATGGAAAGAAATCTTTAATGTAGGTTCACTTTAGGAATATGTTTGTATTAGTTAACTTTAAAATTGTGTTTCTTGGCAAGCCATAAAAGATTTCCAAAGTATTAGACACCCACTTTTGTGCTGGAATTTAATATGCAACTTTTTATTGGAAAATAATCGTCCTTGTCTGGCAAAATCCACCATGCAATATTTCTGTTAGTAGGTATAATGCAATAAAGTCAGGGAGGGCTATTTATCACTACAAATTTTGAGGATTTCAGGATTCTTTTTATTATTTTAATATATTTCTTTGATATTAAATCAGAAAAATGATAAATTACACCTGTCCAGGCTGTTTTTCCTTTTTACTGGAAAGTGATGTACAACCCAATTCCACTGGTCATTTTGGCTTTTTAAGATATGTATTTTTTCTTATTAAAAAAAAAAACCTGAACCTGTATTTTTTTTAAAATAATAATGCTGAAATACTCTTTATATGAAGTGGTTTATAAGTACTTCCTAGTATTGCAAACTCTGGCCTTTTCACAATGAATTACTCTGAGAGCATATTATCTAGAAAGAAACCTGTTATTTTATAGCACATATCTATTGTGTAGATTTACCCTATCTTTTAGGTTGAAATTGAAATCTAATATAAAATAATTTGATTTGTATTCTTTTTAGTATAATTTGCATAATGCCTAGTTTGTTAGTGTCTGCTATTAAGATCCTTCTCCTATCTCCTTGTATTCTGTATATATTCTTTAATCCTACAATTATAAGCTTTTGTTTTATAAGCTCTTTATTGTTTTTGAGCACTTCCTAAAATTACTAAAAAATCATATTTTCAGAAAATTTATTAGATAAAAGTTTAAATGCTATAATATTTTAAACTAAGGGATATAAATGGTTTCGACCTGGGTACATTGATTTATATTTTTTAACAATTATTTCAGGTTTGCATATTTAGAAATATATATTAGCTCAATTTGATTTCAGTGCTCAGTTATTTGAATTATAAATCATTATGTCCCTTCTAGCTGATCAGTCATGAAATATCTTTGAATTCATTTACATAATGGAATATGTGAGTGGTGTATCTATTTCAGTGCAGTTGCTGGCTACTTAATGTATGTTTTGTTGTTTCTTATCGATTTCTTTATTATAATTTGTTTTTAAGTCCTGATTTTAAAGTAATACATTATTTTTGTGTTAAAAATAAGATGCCATTCTTCAGAAGTAGAAGCAGTTATGCAGGATAAAAAATAATCACTGACTGACCCCTGTTAATGTAAATATGTTTATATATTTATATTAAAATATTAGTTAACAGATGAAAAGCATGTTATGTTACAATAAAGTGTTTAAATGTTCCTTATGACTTTATAATGCATATTTTCAGAGACCATTTTTTTCTGTTTTTATCTTCAGAGTGAATCTTACTCAGTGTTTATGGTTCTCAAAGCCAGTTTATGAACTTTTGTGTCCTTGTTTCTGACCACTTGTTTAGAAATTGAAAACATAAAAGATCCTCATTTTTAGAAAGTGCTAAAAAAAAAAAAAAAAAAAAAGCCTGTGTTCCTTTGCCCAAAGGGAGTTAGTAGTGTCAAACTTTAGTGACCATCAGAATCACTGAAGTTCTTGTTGGAATACAAATGCTAGACCTCACCTCCCGATTGAGGTTTTGGGAGGTGTTAGACTGAGACCTGAGAATTTGCCTTTTCAGCAAGTCTCGGATGCTGCGGTGGCTCAGGAGCTGTACTTGGAGAACTGACTCGGTTCTTTAGAAAATACAATGGGTGCCCTAAACAGAGAAGACCGTTCTCCTCCCGCTTCTCCCCAGGACTTTGTCTTTGCCAGGAAGAGGCGGCCTGTCTCCCTGAATGAAATGTCAAATGAGGAGGCTGCCAATACGTCAAGTCCAGGGCTTCACTCGAGTCTTGCATTTTACCCCACGGTATCCGTCTGCCAAATTTGAAGGTTTCCAAGTTGTTTAAGGCTATTATAATTTGGAATTCAGAGACCTTTTTTGATAGAAAGTTTGTCCTCCTATCAAATTCATTACATGGGCCTTATAAAATCCATGTGGCGAATACATCTGAGTAACTTTTTAACATAGTCTTTAAATTCCCAAGACTAAATGTCCCGCCTTCCAGATTCCTAGTAGAAGCTTTCCGGACATGCACAGGTCCCGGGCAGCCCACCCCGCTGGGTGCAGGGGTCCTCCTTTGTGAAGTGTTTGCAGGAAGAAATCCTGCTTTCTATCTGGGGGAAGGAGATGGTTCAGATGATCAAACAAGGAAGCTGCTGGGAAAATTGGAGAAAATGAGGGTCACACAGAGCAGTGAGACAGACTAACCTATCTTAAATGCCGAGAAAGAGGGAAGAAAGGGTTACATTTCATCCAAAATTCTATTTGTTCATTAATCATTACTTCAAGGTGTGTTTTTTCTTTGAAAAAATATTTGACCGGTATTTCTACTGTAGTTTGCTGAAATTTACAGCATTGACGTGTGTCTAATTTGGGATTTCAGATAATAATGAGAAGGGATTTTTATTTTCCATTAGGCCCTCTGTTGGTAGTTGCCCTTACTACATCATCCTCAGAGCTTTAAGAAAATCCAAAAATAGCTTTAGCTGTTTAAAATAGACCCCATAAAAGACTTCTACATTAATTCATGAAAGTATCCAAACTAATTTTTACCGTGTTGTTACTCTGAACATCAACAGTCCTTAGGATTAATAACATCCATATTACTCCAAGACCACCTACATAATTGACTGGGCCCAGAACAAACTGAGCATGTGGGGTTCCTTGTTCCTAAGTTATTAAGAATTTCAAGACCCCGCTAGCAAAGCATTGAACCAAAGGAAGGACCGTGTGCAAGTTCCTGTACACCAGGATTTGGTGAATGTAATTTCTACCCTGGTGCATCTTAGATCTACTTATCTATTAGTTTATTTCAATGGTTTTCATGTTTGCAAGCCACAGAGTCTTATTTCCTGTCCAAACTACTTAGACACCCTGATCTTATTTTTTTTTTAAATATATTTTATTGATTTTTCACAGAGAGGAGAAGAGAGGGATAGAGAGCTAGAAACGTCGATGAGAGAGAAACATCGACCAGCTGCCTCTTGCACACCCCGCACTGGGGATGTGTCCGCAACCAATGTATTTGCCCTTGACCGGAATCGAACCTGGGACCTTTCAGTCCGCAGACCGACGCTCTACCACTGAGCCAAACCGGTTTTGGCCTGATCTTATTTTTTAACCCCAAACCTCTTCCAGCTTCATTTGTCTTTTAAGTGCAATAAACTAGACCAGCATCCTTATTTATTTAGATTTAACCTTGAGTAAGAATAAAATAGTGATTTTTAAATTTACTTTCATACCCATCTTTATGATTTACTTTTATCTTACTGGCCTCTTTCAATTAGCAAATATTAATTAAGCATTTGCTCAGTACAGAACAAAAGAGCAAATAAGACACAGTCCCTGCCTTCACAGAACTGATACTGATTCCATACTTCCTTTCTTGTATTTCTACTAAGAGCTAAAAGAATATTGTATTGTTAATGTAAAAGCATTCAAACCTGTAAAGAATTTGTGTGACTTCATTTGAGCCAAACTGTCAACAATTGCCTGGAAGCAGAACCTCAACGGATTGAGATATAACGGATTGAGATATAACGTTTCAGAGAATGGCAGTCTTTCATCTATTTTTATACATTGCATTCGAAGGAGGGGATGTAGGTGGGTTACATAAAATCCATTGGTGATAGACTAGAGAGGCAGGAGAAAGCAAAACCAGGGGGTGGGGGGGGCAGAGAGGAGGGAACCTCTGGGATTGGATATAAAGTAAAATGATAGGCATACTTAAGGTGGATGCAGGATAGTTAACAGTAACAATTAACATGATAACAAGAACAGAGAAAGAATTTGTGTAGTCTGTCCTGGCACTCAGGCACATTAGGTTGTGCCCAAGGAGTCCAGAAAAAGGGAAACTACAAGTTACATTTCAAGGATCTGTTAGCATAGATGCAAAAAGACAACAGGCTCAGTTTAGGTAAAGATTGACCTTGTCAGGGAAAATAGCAGCCTAGGACATGATACCCACCATAGCTTCTTTTAGTTCAAGTTTTAATTTCAGACCATCCTCTGTGGTTAAATTTAGGTCTTTAGGTTTGTAAGACTGCCATGCAGGCCTTCCTTGATCTTGTCAGGTTAGTATTTGGTGCTTTTTTTTTTCTTTTTTTTTTTTTCCGTCCACAGTATTATCAATAGAGTTCCTTTTTAAAAAAATTGACTCAAATAAATTACATTCTAAATTTCTAAAAATCTACACATTAAACATAATGTGGGTATGTGACGTTTTGATGTGGATTTCAGCAAGCTCTTTTTCGTCAAGGTCATTTAGACACAGTTTATTCGTATATACAAATCATTAAGCATGCAAGTAACATGCAAACCAGGCATCCTCACCCTTCACCGATCTTCCCACCCGGGGGTGCATCCTGAATGAGGTGAGGGTCAGGAAATAGAGAGGATGAGAAATGAAGCAAAAGTCTAGAATAAAATGAGAGTGAAGGATAGAAGAAATGTCTTACAGGAAATACTTAGTAATAACCAGTAGTAGTTCTGCTTTGGTGAAACAGTATTAAAAGGCATTGCTTTATTTCAGTGAATACCACCATCTCCAGACGACTTTGAGAATGTTAAGTAAAACTAGCTTCAGCATATATCCCTCAGGCATACGTCTATTAACATTTCTCATCAAAAGAAATGTTGATTTTTTTTTCTGCTTTCTGTCTCTATTATCCATAGAAATGCATCCCATAATTTATCTGCTCTGTTTGCTTTTATAGTGGGATCAAGTGTGAGAATCCTTTCTACTCTTCTGTAGCCAGCTTATTCAGACCTTTATGCAGTTCTTTAAATTCTTGCCTCACAAGATTACCTTCCTTGAGTATTGTTTTAATCTGATCTCCCTCTTCCCAAAATCCCAGAATTCCTTCTACTTGCTTCTCAGGTCAACGTAAAATTATTGATTTGAACTTGAGTTGTTTAATGGTACTTGACTTATTGAGTTCCCATAACTAATTTCCCACCACTCAACCACAATTTACACTTGATAGTTTTCCTTGGGCCAAGGAAATTCATTTTTCTTTCCCCTTGACATCCTTCATGGTCTTTCACTGAATCACCACCTGTGCTGTTCTCCTCATTTGACCCATTATAACTCAATTTGATGTCTTTTAAAAAATTTTTAGGTCTTGCTGAAGATTTAGTAAAGCCATCCTGAACTAGTTTCAGTTCGCTGTGTTAAGTGAAAGAACATGAACAAGTCATGTAATTACTCTGGAAGCTCAATTTCTTCATCAGTAGAAAGGGGATGTTATCTATCTCTTAGGATTTTATATGGATTAAATAAAATAATATGTATATAACAATATATTTGTGCTAACAAAAATAAAGCACCTTTTATTACTGACCCTGTCATGTAGTAGGTCCTCAGTCCCGATGTGATGAAAGTTCATTAATGAGTTGGTTCCTTACTGAAAGAACAGTTTTCCTGTTCACTCTGGGACTTAGCTACAGCTTTGGTTGTGTCTCAAGAAGCTAGTAGTCTGTGCAGAATCACTGGTCTCTTTAAAATCAAATGGATATGATGTAACTTAGTGAAAATAACTTACATTTGACAATCAGAGTTGGACTTGAATCTTGGTTTTACCATTTGCATGTTTTGTGTTTTGTTTTGTTAATATATTTTATTGAGTTTTTACAGAGGGGAAGAGGGAAGGAGAGAAAGCTAGAAACATCGATGAGAGAGAAACATCGATCAGCTGCCTCTTGCACACCCCCTACTGGGGATGTGCCCGCAACCAAGGTACATGCCTTTGATCGGAATTGAACCTGGGACCTTTCAGTCCACAGGCCAATGCTCTATCCACTGAGCCAAACCAGTTTCTGCAACCATTTGCATGTTTTCTGTGTGACCCTTCCTGAATTCTCTTCCTCGGGGCTTTAGACTCCTACTGCTGTTGCTGATAACCACCATCACCACGTTTGCTGTAATGTGCTATTCGTAATGTCACCGGACTAAAATGCTCCCACTAGCTACAATGACGTGACTTAGAAAAATCATAAAATGATTAGCCATTTGCCTATTTATTTTTAGTTCTCACCCCTGAGGACATATTAAAAGAGAAAGGAGAGAGGGAGAGAGAAACAGTCAATATGAGATAGAAATATCCATTGACTGCCTCTTGTACACACCCTGATGGGGGATTGAACTTACAGCCTAGGCGCATGTTCTAACTGGAATCACGCCTGCAGCCTTTTGGTATATGGGATGATACTCCAAACAACTGAGCCACCTGGCAAGGGCTCCATTTGCATTGTGGTTTTTTTTAACATTACAGATCCTCTTAAGGACCATAACTAGCTTTGAATTGAATTGCTATAAGGGAATATAAATATTCAGATGAACTGTCATTTTTTTTCTTTATTGAGAACAATATTTACTCTTAATCACTTGTTCTTTAGAATATAATTAAAAGGCAGTGAGGCTGGCCTTGGTTCAAAGTGCACAGATGCAGTTCCACAGAAAGTGTGTCTTTGGCAGATGAGAGTCTTCCTGTGAATGTTGTGTTTATTGCTCCCATAAATATTCTGTTGTCAAAACAGGACTTGCTGTTTACTAGCAGCACTGATAGGAAGATTCCTATTAATGGCAGCATTGTGATTACCCACAGACCCTGTCACTTTTAACTCTGCAATTGTAAGAGAATTGTATTTGGTAATTACTTAAGGTATTTCTTAGTTAATTGACCCCACCCTGTTGAACTGAGTGAAGTTTGAGTGGCAGTTCTGCTCAGTGATGACACCAGAAAAAAAAAATCATTAAATGTGCAGCTTCATAGGCAGGGAATGACCTGCTACCTGTCAGCCCTGACTCCTTGCCCAGCGGCTGCCAGAAACACTCAGTGCAGTGACACCCACCAAACACAGGGCCAGGAAGAGAGCGCATAGCTGCAGCCCTGTCCCTAGAAAGCATCCTAACATGGAGCTGAGCAGATGTGCATGCTTCATATGCCGCTGGAATTGTGGCCTTAGAGTCAAGAGGACTTGGATATGAATCATACTAGTTGTTTCTCTTGGAAAGTTCTATTTAATGTTTTTGAGTTTGTTTTTTCATCTGAAAAATAGAAGCGATACTACCTATCTCATGGGACTGTGAGAATCAACCTCGTAACTAGTAAACATTCTGTAAACGTTGATTCCCTGCATCTTTGTGTTTTCTTCCCGTCGTTTAAAATTGAAAAGGACGTTTCATCATTTGATCCTCACAACCGTCCTATAAGACAGATAGCTTGAGCATAGGCCTCATCCTCACTCGTCGGAGAGGGAAAGTCAGCCTCAGAGTGGCTGAGTGTGGAGCTGAAGGGTGTAGTTGGCTGAAAGCCCAGGCTCCCTAACTTGTGTTCCAGTGTCTTCTACTCCTCTACATCCACAGCTGCGTGACGGAAACCTCGAGTTAGGTTTCAGTGTCCCTGTACGAGGCAATAGAGAGAGTTCTTCTATACTTGGAGACGACATGAAGGAAAGAGTTGGCGTTTTCATGGGAGCATGAATGATGCCATTTAAGGTTCTTATGGCCTGCAAGAGAGGCATGAGTAAGCAGACAGGGATCAACTCAGAGAGGCCATGCAACTGGGTAAAGTAAATGACGAGGGTGTTTTGATGACGGCATTAACCAGAGATTCTTTAGGCCTGTGATCATGTTTAAGTATGATTTTGTAATGTTATTCTCATCATGTGTTGAACTGTTTCAGGTGATGGTTCAGTACAGTAGAAAGAACATGATCTTTGAGGTTAAACCTCAGTTCAGATCTCAGCACTACTCATCCATAACTGTGTTCCCTTAGGCAAGTAACAATTTCTCCATGTTCCTTTTACCTATGGATTAGAAATAATAAATAACATTTAGCACTCTAATGTGAAGATTAGGTGAGTTACATATGAAATTCCTTGCACACAATAGGTACTTGAGAAATGTCAGGCTCTCTAAGCCTGACCTTCAGTCCTTGATGACGTGCAGACTGCTACATCCTCCTGGCTGTATCCCCTTCTCCTTCACCTAGAGCAGACTTTCCTTAGGTTTCTAACTGAGCTCATTATTTCATAGAATTGAACATTTTCTCCTTCTTGATAGCCTATTATGGGTCTTTTATCATTATTTTATTATGAAGTAATATTAAGTAAAGAGAAGTTCTCACATTACATCAAAAATGTAAAAAAAAAAAAAAGTCAGTTTTAATTTTCCACTACGAAGGCTTTAATAGTAAAGAAGTTTTTGTCTTAATTATAAAATTAATTCTTCCTCTCCAGGACGAGAACATGTATAAGATGAGAAAAGTAATTGCACTGGTTAATAATAGATTGCCATTCTTAACAGTATGAAGGGCATTTCTCTAGGACAATACTCTTTCGAAACAATACTTATTCCTCATAAGCAGGCATTGGTGCCATTGTAATTCAGTGTTACTTTGTGATTGGTTACTTATTGATAATACAATTATATTTCGCCAAATTCCTTAACTTCTATTACCTATATCCTTTTAAAAAAATTGGTGAAGATAGATGCTGTGAAATTCATGCTAAAAAATCACACGGTAAGTCTAATTTCCTCTCATTGATGACTCGAGTTTCCAGGTGGCTCAGGCAAAGCGTTTGTAACGCGGCTGCTCTTTTGCTTTCATTAGAGTGAACACTTCCCCTTCCTCGGCATCGGTGACAGTGACAGGCTCAGTGACTTCAGGTGCCGAACCACCTTCTACACAGCCCTCACCCGCCTGCTGATGGTGGATCTAGGTACGGTAAGGATTTCAGCTCACTTGTTAAGGATCACAGTATACCTGTGAATAAAGACTCGTAAGGACCACATTTAATTTAACGCATTTGCACCTCCAACAGTTTTCTACAACTTTCTAAGATTTGAGCGCTCACTTGTTAACATTAGAACCGGAAGACAAATCTTTGTACTTAAGGTGGTATTTTTCACTTCAAATAGTACTTGCATTAATTCTTCTTCTAAATTTATTTTCTCGGTGTCCTTTGGAACATTCATTTTACTGCTAGGAATCTAGGAACAATCTTAAATACAGAAAAGCTTTGCACATTTAATCTAAAGAAAACATAGAAACAATGTAAATGTCTAACATAGGGAATTGTACAATCAGGCATACCCACTTACTGGATGGAGTAATATATGGTCATTAAAAATAACAATTTGAAGACAATGCAAAAACATGACATGTCTGTTATAATAATAGGTGGGAAAATCAAGGTATTATACTAAGCAAATGCCTATTAGGATGGGAAGAACAATACATCAAAAAAAGACTTAAATGAAAATCTTAAAAAATGTTAAATCTTGTCTTTGAATAGTGGACTATAAGTAACGTTTCCTCATTTCTGATACCTAAAATTTTCTTTAATGTACTACTTTTATAATGGGAGAAATTAACTTGTGTTTAATTTCTTCATTGAAAACTAACATTAGCCAGAAGTATCCGCAGGAAGGGGGAGGGACATAACACTTCTCTGTGGGACCGCATTACTCTGAGAATAAAATTCCCATTGTTCTCCTTGTCTGAAGGCTGCAGGTTGAATTAATCCATTTATAGACACATGAGAGAAAGAGTTTAGTCAATGATGATATTCTGAGAGCATAATACTGATGATACCTTTTCTTCCCTCCTTTTGCAATGTATTCATTGATCCATCATCTTAAATATGAATTTTTAGAACATGATCATGCAAAAGGAAAGAGGGTGAATGATTTTATTTTGCATGCAAAAGGCACTGATCTTCGTATAGGGAAGGTGACCAAGACCTTCTCTGCTTCACACCTGTATTATTTTTATGCATTTCAACAGAATACATTACCAGAAAGACAAACAGCCAAAGTTGAGAGAAATGCAACTAGAATGATTAAGGAGCTGAGCAGGATTGATTTCTAAGGAAAGATTAAAAGGGCCATGTATGTATAACTTGGCTAAGTGACAACTAGGGCTGGAGGCAAAGGGAACTGTCTATAAATATTTGAAGAGTGTAAACCAGGCATGCAAAACCCAATCATCTGCTATCAGGCCAGTGGGAGATCCAACTGAGTGACAGCTTTGCATACTGCACACTGGCCTGTGCTACGTCTTGGCTGCTGCCGGGTAGAGAAGAGGAGCAGGCCAGGTGTTTGTCATTGTTCTCAGTAATCACTGTGCTGAGCTCTGAGGGCACCACAAAGGCCTTGCCATACTGGCCCATGCCCTCAAGGCACTTGCCCTCTTGTTTCCTGGTTGCCCAAGCATTAAAATAGACGGTGAATCCCTTGTCTAGACTGAATTCTTTCCCAAGCCTATACATGCTCTTTGAATGACTCTGTCTGATAGAATGAAAAAAATGGGAGACCAAAGTTAAGGAAAACACTTAGAGGAGGTTTCCTAAAAGTAGGTCCCTGTCACCCCCATCTTCAGGATCTGGCAATGGAATGGACCGAGGTCCTTTTTCATGAGGTCAGCATAGACAAGAACCCCCATAAATCTGGAGTTGCTTAAATAACAGGACAGCACTATATGTTGCCAACTCTCAGCACAGCTAACTTAATGCACGACAATTGGTAGACCTGGCAATGCCCAGATGTGCCTGGCATTGCACACCCCCTTTTTGAAGATGACTTCTTTTTTTTTTTTTTTTTTTTTTTTTTTAATATATTTTATTGATTTTTTACAGAGAGGAAGGGAGAGAGATAGAGAGTTAGAAACATCGATGAGAGAGAGTCATCGATCAGCTGCCTCTTGCACACCCCCTACTGGGGATATGCCCGCAACTAAGGTACATGCCCTTGACCGGAATCGAACCCGGGACCCTTCAGTCCCCAAGCCGACGCTCTATCCATTGAGCCAAACCGGTCTCGGCTGAAGATGACTTCTATTCATTGTTGCTTAGTGTTGACTATGAGGTCTGAGAAACTGAAGTATACGTATTTAACTTTGAATAAGTAGTAGGACTTTATTAGCTTTAATAACCATATTTCTTTGAAATATTTAATCCATAACAATATAAAGTATACATTGATTTTTTTTTTTTTTTTAGTTAGTGTTTTAAGATAAATAATTGTAATACTGGAGGCACGGTGCATGAAATTCATGCACTTGTGAGTGGGGGAGGGGTCTTTCAGGCTGGCCTTCGCCCTCCCGCAGTCCAGGAGCCCTTCGGGGATGTCCAACTGATGGCTTAGGCACAGGGAGTGGGCCCAAACCGGCAGCCGGACATCCTTAGTGCTGCCATGGATGTCCTGTGGGAGCACACTGACCACCAGGGGGCAGCTCCTGCATTGAATGTCTTCCCCCCTGGTGGTCAGTGAATGTCATAGCAACTGGTCATTCTTCATATTATCCTTTTATTATATAGGGTTGCAAGCACTTTTTAGATACATTGTAAGAAATTCTTTCCTTGGTTATCAGTGTTTTTACTTTTAAAATAACCTATATTGTAAGCATCAAGTGATGGTTTGTGGTATAAAGAATCAGGGCTTCTTTCATTAAGAACCAGAGCGGCTCTTCTTCCCAAAATATGTTGAGCTCCTTCAGTGTATGGGCTTTGTCTTGTGCAGGCTTTCTGGCCCAGTCTCAGTATCCCTGCATTGTAAACATCAGTAAGTTCTTCTGGGAAGCAGGACGCATGAGTGCGCTGTGACCAACATGCCATCACCAGGGCCCTGGAGCCAGCTGCCTCCCAGGGTCTCTGGGGTTAGCTCTGGCCAGTGGCTGATTGCCTTCACAACGATTCGCTGTGCTTGGCCACTCTTGTGCTCGGTCAGTTGTTTGTTGTTTTCTGTTGAAGAGAAAAAGTGTTGCTACTTCACAGACGATCATTTGCCGGGGGTCATGAACAGTTTTATTCTTTGAAGCCTTGTCTCACAAACTAGGCTGTAGGACCCCTGTGTGTATGGTTTTATGGTTTTCTATCCTGTGTTCACTGTCGCAGAAACCTGGAGAAAAGAGAGAGTGCTCTTGCCAAGAGCAGCACAGATCCATGTATTAAAGAAAGAAAGAAAAATACTAGGTAATGAGAATCTGTCTCGAATTAAATGAAGAAACATTTGAAGAGGAACTACTTACAACACTTGATTTTTTTTCTTTTTTTGGTAAGAATCTACTAGGAAAAAACATCTAACCAACCTGTTAGCAAGCCACTGAATGTGATTCTAGGATAGAAATTTAAAATATAATTGATTTCTACAAAATAATTTAGATATGCCTTGCACATTGGAGTGATTAGAAATTGGGTGTCACATTAATTGATACTTACTTTGAAATGCATTTTGGTTTCTATTCAATAATTTGTGCTTTGTATGAATTTAATTAGATGCTGTGTGCCCCGGGTTGTGTTTCAGATGAAAATGGGGTTTCAGATGAAATTGCCAACTGTTTGGCAATAAACAGTTGTACGATGATTTTATCAAATTGCTCCTTATCTAAACTGGATGGAATAAAGAACAGAATTGAAAGCATTTCATCATCAGAATGATGATGTTTCATGTTGGCAACATATTTTTTGTATTCTAAGAAATTATGAAACTAAATAAATTCCCTTTGAGAGATACTTCACACACAGAAGGAAATGGGTGACCAACCATATGTGCATGCATGTTAGCCTTTCCAAGAATCACTTAAAGTTCCCTAGGTTATTTTTAAATTAACTTTGTCAATCTAATAAACTAAAGCAAAGATAGTATTACCCAAGCCGGTAAATGGAGAACCTCCAGGGAGCTGTTCAGTGTAAAAAACTGGAATAAATAAAAACCTTCTATTTTGTTTAATTTGAATGGAGGTGAAATCAGTTGACAAATACTGGAGAGGGGAAGTGTGGGAAATAGCGGTAACAAGGCTCTTTGTTTTATGGAAAACTAAATATTCCTTGCAAATTAGGTTTCTACCAGCCACACGCTCAGAGATGCTGGGTTCACTGGTGGTTTTTTTCTTGGACATTTTATGAGTCTTATCTTGAACTGCTCAGAGGAGAAGCATGCTTCCCTCGGATATTCAAACTCTAAAATGCAGTTATATGTTTTCATGATCACGAAGATGTTAATATGGGTATAGAGTTTATAGACATTAAGAGACAGTTCTCTCTATAGGGATGAGGGTAGCATAGCATCCACCCACCTTTGTGGCTGATAGCAGGTACTTGGCACCTGAAAATGTCTCTAGCTTAAATTTGAGAAATGTTAAGTAACAAGTAAATAAATTGAATGAGAAAGGAAGACTATTCTAGAAATAGCTACTAAAGATAGAAACAAAAATACAGAGGAAGGAAACTTCCCTTTTCTTTAGTAAGAATAACTAACATGTTTACACATTTACAGTCCGCAAACCATTTCTCATACATTATACGATTTGGTCCTCAGAACAGCCAACATAGAATAGTTATTGCTTCGTGTCCCTGTTAGAAAGATGATGTGCAGAGATTAAAAGACTGCCCGAGGTCAGTCATGTACATCATAACCCTCTGACCACACATCCTCCTTCACTTTTGCTAAGCTGTTACTTCACCTTTTACTTCTCAATCAATTAAGAAAAGTAACTGTCTTCTTCATTTTTAGGTGAACTATTTGACCTGAATGATTGGGGGCAGTGAGAAGAAGGGAGAAGGGATTACTTTCCAAGCTTCTATCAAATAAACAGATTTGTGTTTATTTGCCCTATGTAGTTATGTTACATTCCTATGATCAGTGCAAGTCAAATAGTTTTTTTTAAATTAAATATTGGCATTTATTTTTTTAGTATATTTTATTGATTTTTTACAAAGAG